ATTTTTCTATTACCTAACATATGTGACATGTCTGGCAAAATTCAACCACATCTTTATGTAACCCAGGCCAATAAAAATGTTTTTGTATTTTGGCTTGAGTTTTCCTTATTCAAAGATGAACTCCTATTGGTAATTAATGTGTTACCTGCAACGCCTCCTTTCTATAACACAACAGTAATGCAACTTGATGACCTTCTGCCCATTTTCCTTCCATCTAAATATGTAATGGTCTCCTTCCCATTATATCCTTCCCATAACAGGGTGGACCAGAACTGGACGCAGACTCCAACATTAAGATGGTCCTTCACAAAGTATTTTCCAATCTCACCCCATTTTAACCCTTCACCAACTTTGAGGGGATTTAGGAATGGGCAACACAAGCCAGCCTTGCCAGTGATGCCCACATGTCATCAAATAATTGTAAACAAAATGGTGAAGAATTAACACCACCTCAGAAACCAGCAGCAATGAAACAGTAACAAAACAGTAGAATGACATTCAGGCTAAAATTATTAAAGTTCTGGAGTATATGTTATGTATAACACTACATCATATCAATATGTGGTTTTGGAGTGGTTTGTAAAAATGTTATTTTGTATATTCATAAGTGATGCTGTTGTCATCTAATACATTCTGAAGGAAGTTTGAGACCCAATAGAGTGAGGGGAGAGGTGATGGATACATTAGTGGAGAGTTAATCAAATTTAATTGGTTATATTAATATAGGATGCTAAGTAACAGTGAGGGGTATGGCTAACTGAACTAAAGCTCTCACATAAAGATGTGGGCTTGACTTCTTTTTAAATAGTTATCTTTTGATCACAGAGCATGGATGATTCAAAATATAAAGTTTTGGGATATGATTACCTACCGTTCTCTGAAAATAAATTGTATGACAAGTGACAGGACATTAGGAAGTGCAGAGAACAGAGGGGTCTTGGGGACAGTAAGAACTGCCGATGCTGCAGTCAGAGATAACACAGTGTGGAGCTGGAGGCACACTGCAGGCCAGGCAGCATCAGAGGAGCAGGAAAGTTGACGTTTTGGGTGGGAACCTTTCTTCAGAAATAGGGGATGGGAGCTCAGAAATAAATAGAGAGAGGAGGGGTGGGCCTGGGGAAGGTAGGTGGGATGGTGATAGGTGAGTGCAGGTAGGCAGTGGGAGGGATTGGTCAGTGAGGTTGGAGGAGCAGATAGGTGGGAGAGAAGATGGACAGGCTGTGTCAGGTCAAGGATGAGAGGGAGGATTGGTCAGGGGATGAGGCTAGGGGTGGGGAGATTTTGAAACTGATAAAGTCCACATTTAGGCCAATGGGCTGTAGGTTCCCAAGGCAGAATATGAGGTGCTGCTCCTCCAGTTTGCGGGTGGTGCCATTGTGACACTGGAGGAGGCCCAGGACGCACATGTCACCCAGGGAGTGGGAGGGGGAGTTGAAATGGTTTGTGACCAGAAGGTGTTGTCGTTTGTCATGAACAGAGCGCAGGTGCTCTACAAAGCGGTCTCTGAGCCTCCAATTGGTCTCACCGATGTAGAGGCCACATCGGGAGCAGCAGATGCAAGAGACCACATTAGCGGATGTGCAGGTGAACCTTTGTCTGATGTGAAAGGTTTGTTTGGTGCCGTGAATGGAGGCAAGGGGGGAGGTGTAAGGGCAGGTGTAGCACCTCCTGCAGTTGCAGGGAAAGGTGCCGGGGGTGGTGGAGTTAGTGGGGAATGTGGAGTGGACAAGGGCATCGTGGAGAGAGCGGTCTCTACGAAAGGCGGATAGGGGTGGGGAGGGAAATATATCTTTGGCAGTGGGGTCGGATTGTAAGTGGTGGAAGTGGCGGAGAATGATACGTTGGATACAGAGGTTAGTGGGGTGATATGTAAGGACAAGGAGGATTCTGTCTTTGTTTTTGTTGGAGGGAGGGACTTTCAGAAGATGGGTCAGAAATTCAGAAATTTCAGAAGATGGATCCCGACCCAGAACTGCTCCTCTGATGCTGCCTGGCCTGCTGTGTTCCTTCAGCTTCACACTGTGTTGTCTCTGACTCCATCTGCAGTTCTTGCTATTTCTGAATAAGCTCACGTTGTTTTGTTCCGTGCAGAGAAAGTTGGGGGGGGGGGTGCGAGACCTGACTCAGGTGTATAAGATTAAGAGGGGAATGGAAAGGGTGAATAGAATGCAGCCATTCCCTTTCATTGAAAGGCCAATAATAAGGGGCGGGGGAGATAATTTTAAGGTGGAAGGCAGGAGATTTAGAGGGAATTTGACAAAAAAAATGTTTTTGCCCAAAGGATGCTGGGGTCAGGAATGCATTGCCTGGGAAGGTAGTTGAGGCAGGTAGCTTCACAACCTTTAAAAAAAGCACTTGGATGAGCATTTGAAGTAAGATAACATTCAAGCCTGTGGGCCTAGTTCTGGAAAGTGGGACTAGAGTAGCTTTAGTGTATGTTTGGTGGTACAGACTCGATGGGCCAAAAGACCTCTTCTGCACTGTATGATTCTATGGAAGAATGGAGTTACAATGTGGGCCGGGTTACTACTTTACTAAAGGTGGAGCAAGGTATGGCATCAGCATTTTCGTTATCATACAGTAGCAAAATCTGAATTTTTGTTTTGGAATCGCAGGCAGATGATTTGAACACAGATGAGAATTTGGACAGATTGATAAATTTTATCAACGAAATTAACAAAAAACAAAGAACAGCGATAAATGTGCCATCCTTAGATGGTAGACTGTGACTACTGTTGCATTGTAGTGCCTTCGGCCCCGGCTGTTCGCAATCTAAATGATTTGGAAGCAGCGATGCTGGACAGACATTCTAATATTTCCACCTTTGCAGATGACACAAAACTTGGTGGGAAGGTGTGCTTTGAAGAGGCTGCAAAGGAGATTTAGTCAGGCTCAGTAAGTGGGAACAAGCATGGCAGGTGGAATATAATGTGAATAAAAACAGAAATTGCTGGAAAAGCTCACCAGGTCTGGCAACATCTGTGGAGAGAAATCAGAGTTAACGCTTCTTGTCAAGGGAGTCCTGAGGAAGGCTCACTCAACCCGAAACGTTAACTCTGATTTCTTCTCACCGATGCCACCAGATCTGCTGAGCTTTTCCAGCTATTCCCATTTTATTCCTGATTTACAAATCAGCAATGTTTTCAGCTTTTATAATATAAATAGGTTTGAGGTCATCCACTTTGGTATGAAAAATGGATGTGAAGAGCATTTCTTAAGACATTGGAAATTGCCTATGTCCAAAGGAACATAAGTGTCCTTGCTCAGAAGTCAATGAAAACCAACATGTAGGTGCAGCAAGCAATTCAGAAGGCACAACATGATTGCCATCATCACAAGGAAATTGAAGTATAGGAGCAAAGAGGTCTTGCTACAATTGTATAGATCACCTGTGAAACCACCCCTGGAGCAGTTTCCACAGTACTGGTCCTTTTGGCTAAAGATTTGTAGTGGGACCTCGAACATAGGTGGTGACAGTGATGCAGTGCACTAAATAAGGAAGTTGATCAGTTCTCTGGGAACTCCACCCAACGGTGACGGAGGGCAGCTGCAGCAGTCGAAAGGAATTTAGCTGGAAAGAAAGTGCAGCTATTAGGAGCAGTGATTCCTCATACAATCCCTACAGTGCAGATAGAGGCCATTCAGCCCATTGAGTCCGCACCAACCACCCAAACAGCATCCCATGTCACCCCCCATCCTATTCCTGCAACCCCACATTTACCAGGGTGATCTATCTAACCTGCACATCTCTGGATACTATGGAGCAATTTAGTACATCCATCCACCTAACATACACATCCTTAAACTGCTGGAAGAAACCCACACAGACACGGGGAGAACGTGCAAAATCCACACAGTCACCCAAGGCTGGAATTGAACCCAGGCCCCTAGTGCTGAGAGACAGTGCTATCCATGCCACCGTGCTGTCGTATGAGCTGCCATTCTCAGTTCAATGTAACCCACATGGTCTTTCCACGCATGTAGTATAAAAAGTTCTTATTTATTCTTAATTTCCCTTCCTGTGTGTAATGACCAGATACCAGTAGAATCCTTGTTTTATGATCGATATATTTGCTACAGAAATAGTGCAAAAGAGATTCACCAGACTGATATCTGCAATGGTGAGACCGTTCATATGTGAGATTGAGGAGCCTGTATTCTCTGTTGCTCAGAATGAGGTGATCTCAGTTAAATAAACTTAAAATTCTTAGAGGGCTCAACAGGACAGCTGCAGAATGGATATTTCCCCTGAATGTGGGCTCCAGAACCGGGGACACAGTGTCAGATTAAAAAGTAAGCCAACTGTGACAGAGATGAGGAGGTGCCTATTTGTTCAGAGGTTGGTTAACCATTGGAATTCACTACTGCAGAGGGTTATGGAAGGTCAGTCATTAAGCAAGTTCAAGAGAGATTGACAGATTTCCAGTTACTGTGATATCAAGGGGATGGCATAAGATTATGCCATTGAGAGAATTGATCAGCCATGATCTAGAATGGAGGAGCAGTTTCAAGGGGCTGAGTGGCCTATTCCTGTGCTCCAACACAGCTTCTGTCACAGTTCAATGAGACCTCATCACCAAGTGACTGTATAAATATAACTCAGATGCTTCATTCTGGTCCCCTGCTCTCATGACTCAACCTGACCCAACACCCACACCTCCCCACCCCAACACACACGTTCACCATCACTCTCACTAGGCGTCTGGGTGTGGAAGAGACTTCAACGAACCACCCAACCACCAGACACAATAAGAAACACGGCCAAAAGGAGCTCAGAGAGAAACTCAGTAACATCATGGCGAGTTTGGCCCATTTGGGAGAATGAAAGAGAGGGAAGCAGCAGGGACAGCTGATCAGATTATCTCAATTCTCATGACAAAGAAGCTCCATGAACTCCTCACAATTGTCTTTGGACGTAAGTATATAGAAGATAGAAACAAGTACGCCCTGTAAAAGCAGTGACTTCATGATACAAAAATTAAAACTCAACACATTGTGTGTACAAGACAAAGGAAGTTTATTTGATTTACAGAGTATTAACACCCATTACTGAGCTGTATATTAACATCAGCGGAAATGGATCTCATTGAACACGGTTCAGGCCCAGATGTAATTAACGGCAAAATCCACTCAACGAGAGAGATCTTTATGGAGAGATACTGTATTTACTGGTGAACTCGCTGGTGTGTCAGCAGGTTGGATGCTTGACTGAATCCCTTCCCACACACAGAGCAGATGAATGGCCTCTCCCCGGTGTGAACCCGCTGGTGTCTCAGCAGGATGTATGATCGAGTAAAATCCTTCCCACACTCAGAGCAGGTGAACGGCCTCTCCCCAGTGTGAACGCGCTGGTGTCTCAGCAGGTGGGATGACTCAGTGAAATCCTTCCCACATTCAGTGCAGGTGAAAGGCCTCTCCCCAGTGTGAACTCGCTGGTGTCTCCGCAACCGAGATGTCTCAGTGAACTCTTTCCCACACTCAGTGCAGGTGAACGGTCTCTCCCCAGTGTGAACTCGCTGGTGTGTCAGCAAGGTATATGAGCGAGTGAATCCCTGCCCACACTTCGCGCAGGTGAATGGCCTTTCTCCGGTGTGACTGCGCCAATGAGTTTCCAGGTCAGACGGGTAATTGAATCCCTTCCCACAGTCGTCACATTTCCAAGGTTTCTCTCTGTTGTAACTGCATCTATGTCTCACCAGGCCAGATGATTGGCTGAAGCCTCGCCCACACACAGAGCATGTATACAGATTCTCTTCACTGTGAACTGTGCTTTCTCCTTCCATGGCCAAAGACCAATGATATTCACCTCCTGACAAATCCAGCGTCTCTAGCAGGTCTTAACCTGATGTTTGATTTGAGTTTCCTTTCTGTAAATCCTCCCTTTCCCATTCCCTGGAACATGAATCTGAAACAAGAAACAGTGGAATGAAAGCAGCCAATTGAAATAAAAACCCAACTGCGTTAAGTGAAGGGAACCTGCCACCAAGTCAGGACTCTGATCTCCTGCAGGAGAGTTTGGGAGAGGAGCAGGAAAAGGAGATGACTGGTATTGGCAAACAGGATTAAGGAACATCCCAAGGCATTTTATACAAATACAAGGAGCAAAAAGCTAGCTAAGGAAAGGGTAGGTCCACTCAAGGAAAGACGTGGGAATTTATATGTGGCCCCAGAAGAAGTGGGCGAGGTCCTTAAACAGTACTTTGCATTGGAATTCACAAAGGAAAAGGGCATAGTGGATGGCAAGTGTTGGAAGGGTTATGTTGATATTCTGAGGCATGTCAATATAAAAAAGTAAGTGGTGTTGGATGTTTTGAAAAGCAAGTCCCCAGGACCTGATGGGATCTATCCCTCAATGTTGAGGGAGGCAGTTGAGGAAATTGCTGGGGCCTTGTATGAAATCTTTGTATCCTCTTCAGTCACAGGAGAGGTGTCAGAGGTCTGGAGAATAGCCAATACTATTCCTTTGTTTAATAAGGGCAACAGGGATAATCTGGGAAATTACAGGCCGGTGAGCCTTAAGTCAGTGATATGGAAATTATTGGAAGAATCTTAGGGATAAGATTTACTCACATTTCAAAAAATATGGATTTATTAGAGATAGACAGCATGCCTTTTTGTGGGGAAGGATCAGTCTCATTGAGATTTTTCAGGAAGTGAGAAAGAAGATTGATGACGGCAGAATGGTAGATGTTGTCTATATGGACTTTAGATAACGTCCCTCGTGGCAGATACAAAAGACAAAGTCATATGGGATCCATGGTGAGCTGACAGTCTGGCTCAGTCATAGGAGAGTGAGTAGCAATGGAAGGGTGTTTTTCTGACTGGAGATCTGTGGCTGGTGGTGTTCCGCAGGAATTAGTGCTAGAGCCCCTGCTGTTAGTAATGTATTAATGATTTAGAGGAGAATGTAGGTGGCCTAATTAGTAAGATTGTGGATGACATAAAGACTGGGGGACCTGCGGATAGTGTTTAACTCACTGCTACATCTCTTCCAGCCATGCCCACCTTGAAGAAGTTCTGCTCCTCTCCCCAACTGCATTTCCATTTTTCTTGTTCACGGTCATTAATTTCACTGTTAAATAGTCCCCATTATCAACTATTCATTCCCCCAGAGTGATCGTTACACAGTCCTTTGTCTGTCCAACTGTTTTTCACTCTTTCTGGGCTCTACTTCCATGTATTGTTTACTCAACTTCCCCCCCCCAACCTCATCTTCTGCATAAATGCCAACCTTTTCCGAGCTACCCTTAATTCTGAAGAAGGGTCATTGGACCCAAAATGTTAACTCTGATTTCTCTTTAAAGATGCTGCCAGATCTGTTTAATTTTCCCAGCAATTTCTGCTCTTGTTGCATCTGATTAGATTTAGAATTTGAAATGGGAGTTGTCAAGTATTTGAGAATGAGGAACTTGAGCCAGTGGGTTTGGTTGCAGATGTTTCGTCACCCTGCAAGGTAACATCATCAGTGCACCTCCAGTGAAGCGTTGGTGTTCTGTCCCGTTTGTTATTTATATCCCTCTGTTTGCTGGGTTGGTTGGTACTACATCCCATTCTGTTTTTCAGTGGTTTGTATATCGGGTCCAGTCAATGTGTTTGTTGATGGACTTCTAGTCAGAATGCCAGGCCTCCAGAAATTCCCCGGAATGTCTCTGTTTGGCTCGTCCTATTATGGATATGTTGTCGAATTTGTGTCCTTCACTATCTATGTGTATTGAGACCAATGAGAATTGGTCTCCTGATGGCTAATTTGTCTTCATGTATGCTTATTGCCAGTTTGGCCTGTGTATCGTTTTTCAGGGTCCTTGCATGATATTTTGTACATTACTTTAGCTTTACTGGTTGTGGGTATGGGATCCTTTACGTTTGTCAGTAGCTGTCGCAGGGTGGTTGTTGGTTTGTGGGCTACCCTGATACCTAGGGGTCTGAGTAGTCTTGTGCTCATCTCTGATATTTCCCTGATGTAAGGTAGGGTGACTAGTGTGTCTGGCCGTGTTGTGTCTTCTTGTTGTGGTCTGTCACGGAGGTAACGGCGGATTATTCTTTCTGGGTATCCATTCCTTTTAAAAACTCCGTATAAATGCTCCTGTTCTGCTTTGCGCAATTCTGGGTTGCTGCAGTTAGGGAACCAGATTACAAAAACCCTGAAGAAATTACACAGCCCAGGAAACATCAGCAAGACAGACTATCAAAAAAATGAACCAGAGGGATCCAACACACCTCGCTTCTATGGACTCCCTAAGGTACACAAACCAAGGGTCCCCCTCAGACCCATTGTCTCACTACCAGGCATGCCAACATACAGACTAGCCAAAGAACTACAACGGAAACTGAAGTACTTAGTTGACAACACTACCAACTCCATCCACTCCTCCCAAGAATTCCTCAACATCATCAAGGACACCAGAATAGAAGAGGATGAAATAATGGCATCCTTTGACATAACAGCACTATTTACATCCATAAACATCGACCTAGCCAAAGAGACAATTGCCACACTGCTGGACGAATCAGGAAAGCAGGCACCCCACAACACCAACAAGGACAACACCCTGAAGCTGCTGGATCTGTGCCTGACAACCCACTTCACTTTCAATGGCCATATATTTAAACAAATCAACGGAACACCAATGGGATCCCTAATATCAGGACTGATAGCAGAAGCAGTAATGCAAAGATTAGAACGGACAGTGCTCCCCACTATCCAACCCAAACTCTGGGTCCGCTAGGTAGATGACACCTTCGTGATTATTAAACACACAAGGCAGAAGAAACCCACTGACACATAAACATTATCCTCACCAGAATAAAATTCACAAAAGAAGAAGAGAACCACAACCGACTACCCTTCCCAGACATAATAGTGGAACGTAAGAACAATGGGGAACTCCAGACTGGTGTATACAGAAAGACTACCCATATGGACCAGATACTTAATCACACTAGCAACCACCCCAACATCTATAAACAGAGCAGCATCAGGACACTGCAACAACGTGGAATTGAACAAAGCAGAACAGGAGCATTTATACAGAGTTTTTAAAAGGAATGGATACCCAGAAAGCATAATCTGCTGTTACCTCCGCAACAGACCACAACAGAAAGACACAACATGGCCAGAAACACTAGTCACTCTACTGTACATCAGGGACATATCGGAGATGACCACAAGACTGCTCAGACCCCTAGGTATCAGGGTAGCCCGCAAACCAGCAACTACCCTGCGACTGCTACTGACGAACATAAAGGATCCCATACCCACAACCAATAAAACTAATGTAATATACAAAATACCATGCAAGAACTGTGAGAAACATTACACAGGCCAAACTGGAAGAAAACCAGCAATAAAGATACACGAAGACCAACTAGCCACCAAGAGACATGACCAATTCTTACTGGTCTCAATAGACACGGACAAAGAAAGACACGAGTTTGACTGGGACAACACATCCATAATCACACAAGCCAAAAACAGACATGCCAGGGAATACCTGGAGGCCTGGCATTCTGATCGGAACTCCATCAACAAACACAATGGTTTGTATCTCGGAGATAACAAGGTGTAGAGCTGGATGAACGCAGCAGGGCAAGCAGCATCAGAGGAGCAGGAAAGCTGACGTTTCGGGCCTAGGTCCAGTTCAATGAAAAACAGAACCGGAAGTGATACCAACCACCCCAGCAAACCAAGGCATATAAATAACAATCGGGACAGAATACTAATACTTCACCGGAGGTGCACTGACTATGTTACCCAACAGGGTGACGAAACGTCTGCAACCAAACCCACTGGCTCGGTGAGCAAGTCTACAACCTCATCCACAATCCGAGCTGCAAATATTCTCAAAACAAAACCTTTAAATGAGGAACTTTCAGGGTTACAAACAGCAAGTCAGTGTCTAGGACTAAACAGGGCTGATCTTTCAAAGAGACAACACAAACACAAAAGGGTTAGACAGCCTCCTTCTACATTGTAAAATAGGGCTGAGTTAGCACGGCTTTGTCAAGGTAGGTCCTGCCAGAGAATTGTTTGGATTCCAACAATATGACACCATCCAGGACAAAGCAGCCTGCTTGAATGGCACCTCGTCCACCACCTTCAACATTCACACCCATCACCATCAATGTGCAGTGGCAGGAGTTTGTACCATCTACAAGACGCAATGCAGAAATTCACCAAGACTTTTTTTTTAGACAGCGCAGAAAAACGAGGGCAGCAGGTACATGTGAACTCCACCACCTGCAAATGACACTCCAAGCCACTCACCATCCTGATTTGGATCTATATCAATATACATCTACAATCCTTTGCTGTCACTGGGTCAAAATCCTGACAGCATCGTGGTTTTGCCTGCCTCAAATGCACGGCAATAGTACCAGAAAGCAGCTTACCACCAGTTTCTGAAAGGGAATTAGGGTTGGGCAATAAATGCTGTTCCAGCTAGCGATGCCCACATCCCCCGAATGAACAAAATAAAACAAAAAGCCCCATCTTAGACATACGTGGCACTCTACTCATCAAATTGTGTCGATGAGACAAAGACCTCTTTACATCTACTTTCTGTTATCTGCCAGTCCCCAGCAATCATGCTATTATGTTACCTCCTATACCATGAGCTTTTATTTTCTCCAACATTCTTTGTTGTGGCATGTTATCAAATGCCTTCTGGA